CCCCAAAACCCCAAAACCCCAAAACCCCAAAACCCCAAAACCCCTTTTGTGGCTACCATACAGAAAGTGATATTATAAAATAAAATGGAATCAGGCAGCAGTGAGGGAACTCCTATTGAAATAATTGAGAACCATCTCTACTGGATCTCTGATGAGAGATCCCCGAATTCTAAAACCTCCGCCTTCTTCTTTAACGTGGATAGTGATCTGGTATATGACCCTTTTCATAAAGATTTTGGGCCTCTTGATCTTGCGAAAGTGCACAGGTTTTGAACTGAATTACAAAATGTGCTAACTAATGAAGAGTACAAGAAGAGCAAGATATATCATCATACTTCTTGAGATAAGGAGAAGCAGGCCAATGCAGCTTTCCTAATGGGGGCATTCATGATAATAGTCTTAAAGCACAGCTCTACCGAAGCATGGGAGAAATTCTCAATTTATCATAGCTGATTTAAGCCATTCCGAGATGCCACAAAAGGTATCTCAACCTATAAGTGAACTATCAAGGATTGTCTTGATGGCCTTTATTACGCAATGAAGCTAGGATGGTACGACTATGATACCTTCGACTTAAAATAAATACGAGCACTACGAGAAGGTTGATAATGGAGACATGAACTGGATTGTTCCAAAGAAATTCCTTGCTTTCAGTAGTCCGTCAGAAGATGAAGAGGATGAAGAAGGGTTTCGTACATACACTCCAGATGACTACACTCCTATATTTCAGAGGTTCAAGATTGGTACAGTCGTGAGGCTTAACAACAAGTCGTATAATGAAGAGAGATTTATCCAAAATGGGTTCAAATTCGAAGATCTTTACTTCGTAGATGGAACTTGTCCATCAAACAAAATTGTGAAAAAGTTTTTAAAAGCAGCAGAAAGTGAGGAAAATGGAATGGCCATACACTGTAAAGCAGGACTTGGAAGAACCGGAACCCTTATAGGCCTCTACTGAATGAAGCATTACGGGTTCCCTGCAGCAGCCTTTATAGGCTGGATCCGCATCTGTAGACCTGGGTCAGTTCTTGGACCGCAGCAACATTATCTCTGAGAAATGGAACAAGAGATGTTTGATGAAGGGGATATCAAAGAAAATATTCTAGTAGACGGCCTAGAAAAGATGTCCCTCGAAGAACGCAAAATAATGATGTCCCCTGATGAAAAGAAGATCCACAAATATGGAGACCTCGGCCAAGGAGATCATTTGAGGTCACGAAAGAAGAAGATTTTGACTTCTAAAATGAAGACGAAAACATAGTATATATAAAATAATTTTTCAATTACCTACCAAGAATTCGGGGTTTTGGGGTTTTGGGGTTTTGGGGTTTTGGGGTTTTGGGG